ATCCTCCCCTTCATTACTGCACTGTCCCCTGCTGAATCCTCACATTCATTACTGCACTGTCCCCTGCCGGATCCTCCCCTTCATTACTGCACTGTCCCCTGCTGGATTCATTACCACACCACCCCCTGCTGCATTGTACTCATTCACTCTCACACTGCCCCCTGCTGCATTGTACTCATTCACTCTCACACTGCCCTCAGCTGCATTGTACTCACAATTGTGATAAACGTGGCAGTCCTGTCTGTTATGTGATGTTTTAAATGTTTCTGAACTCTGAGAATATTTAGGTGTATGTGTTATCAACTCCCACAATTTTTTCCTTTCTGAATCTTTCTCTTAGTATGTGAATTAGTAATGATGGTCTTTTTGGTTCTCTCCAGTCGTGTCCCAGTAGATTAGGCCCCCATCCCCAGCAGCCAACATGGTGGCATTGTCACTGAAGATCGGTATTGGAAATGTGGTGAAAACGATGCAATTTGAGCCTTCCACCATGATATACGATGCTTGTCGTATTATCCGCGAGCGGGTTCCGGAAGCCCAGATTGGACAGCGTAAGCACATTACAACAAAACTGAAAAAAGGACAGTATCAGCATTATACAAGTTTTTTTTTTTTTTAAATATACAGTGGGCATTTTAACTGCCAGTAATTAACATTAAAATTCTATTGACACAAGTTGGGTGTAGTAAAATGATATAGGACCCAATAATGGTTAGACAAGGTGAATAGAGGACAAGAGAAGGCCAATAGGAGGGTAAAGTGTATTTGTCATTTAATGGATAGGGGTGACTGGATGTTGGAAGAAAAGGTGAGACCTGAACTTAAGATTAAGGGGTAGTGTAACAGATGTCTCATTGACTTCCAGAGTAATAGAGGTGGAATGTTTGAATAGTTCAGATTTGGAACAGTTAATTAGAGAAAATTTTAAAAAAAGAAGAGAGATGCGTTCCAGGAGGTAGAGAGCTCAGGAAGGCACAGGTAAATCCAAGAGTCATCAGTGTATAGATAGTAGAGAAAGCCAATGGCACATTATAAAAAGAGAACAAAAAAGGGACAAGAAATGAGCCTTGGGGATATTAATCTGTTACACCCCTAGCTGTCAATCACATGCCTACTCCTGTTACTTCCTGGTTTGGTTAGCTCAGTGGAGCTAAACTCAAGAGACAGCAATTTCCTAAAGCACCTGCCTTGCAAAGATTGAGCTGCATTGGGAAGGCTGTGATTGGATAGCCTTGGAAGGGGAGCGATTGCAAAGGCTGCAGACCAGTTTTAATTAATTTATTTATGAATGAAGTGTTCCTTTACTCGCATTTTCTTTCTTTCCAGCAAATGACTTTGGTCTTTTCTTATCGGATGAGGATCCCAAGAAAGGAATTTGGTTGGAAGCAGGGAAAGCCCTGGATTATTACATGGGATATTAACCTTCTGTACTACACCCCTAGCCTCTGCTCCCGGCCCTCCTTCCTGTACTAGCAGGCGCTAATCCTCTATAACTAGCCTCTGCTCCCGGCCCTCCTTCCTGTACTAGCAGGCGCTAATCCTCTATAACTGGCCTCTGCTCCCGGCCCTCCTTCCTGTTCTAGCAGGCGCTAATCCTCTATAACTAGCCTCTGCTCCCGGCCCTCCTTCCTGTACTAGCAGGCGTTAGCTCAGTGGAGCTAAACTCAAGAGACAGCAATTTCCTAAAGCACCTGCCTTGCAAAGATTGAGCTGCATTGGGAAGGCTGTGATTGGATAGCCTTGGAAGGGGAGCGATTGCAAAGGCTGCAGACCAGTTTTAATTAATTTATTTATGAATGAAGTGTTCCTTTACTCGCATTTTCTTTCTTTCCAGCAAATGACTTTGGTCTTTTCTTATCGGATGAGGATCCCAAGAAAGGAATTTGGTTGGAAGCAGGGAAAGCCCTGGATTATTACATGCTTCGGAATGGGGTGTGCTGATCTGTAATTTCTGCTCCCGGCCATCCTTCCTGTACTAGCAGGCACTAGTCCTCTATAACTAGCCTCTGCTCCCGGCCCTCCTTCCTGTACTAGCAGGCGCTAATCCTCTATAACTGGCCTCTGCTCTCGGCCCCCCTTCCTGTACTAGCAGGCGCTAATCCTCTATAACTGGTCTCTGCTCCCGGCACCCCTTCCTGTACTAGCAGGCGCTAATCCTCTATAACTAGCCTCTGCTCCCGGCCCTCCTTCCTGTACTAGCAGGCGCTAATCCTCTATAACTAGCCTCTGCTCCCGGCCCTCCTTCCTGTACTAGCAGGCGCTAATCCTCTATAACTGGCCTCTGCTCCCGGCCCCCCTTCCTGTACTAGCAGGCGCTAATCCTCTATAACTGGCCTCTGCTCCCGGCCCCCCTTCCTGTACTAGCAGGCGCTAATCCTCTATAACTGGCCTCTGCTCCCGGCCCCCCTTCCTGTACTAGCAGGCGCTAATCCTCTATAACTGGCCTCTGCTCCCGGCCACCCTTCCTGTACTAGCAGGCGCTAATCCTCTAACTAGCCTCTGCTCCCGGCCCTTCTTCCTGTACTAGCAGGCGCTAGCCTCTGCTCCCGGCCATCCTTCCTGTACTAGCAGGCACTAGTCCTCTATAACTAGCCTCTGCTCCCGGCCCTCCTTCCTGTACTAGCAGGCGCTAATCCTCTATAACTGGCCTCTGCTCTCGGCCCCCCTTCCTGTACTAGCAGGCGCTAATCCTCTATAACTGGCCTCTGCTCCCGGCCCCCCTTCCTGTACTAGCAGGCGCTAATCCCACACTAGCCTTTTCCTCCTTCCTGTACTAGCAGGCTAATCTTTTATACTAACTAGCCTCTGCTCGGCCCCTTCCTGTACTTGCGCGGCGCTAATATCTCTATGTAGCCTCTGCTCCGGCCTGCCTCCTTCCCTGTACTAGCAGGCAGCTAATCCTCTATAACTGGCCTCTCTGCTCCCCAGCCCTCCCTTCCTGTTCCAGCGAGGCGCTAATCCTCTATAACTGGCTACTGCTCCCGGCCCTCCTTCCTGTACTAGCAGGCGCTAGCCTCTGCTCCCGGCCATCCTTCCTGTACTAGCAGGCACTAGTCCTCTATAACTAGCCTCTGCTCCCGGCCCTCCTTCCTGTACTAGCAGGCACTAATCCTCTATAACTAGCCTCTGCTCCGGCCCTCCTTCCTGTACTTGCAGGCGCTAATCCTCTATAACTAGCCTCTGCTCCCGGCCCTCCTTCCTGTACTAGCAGGCGCTAATCCTCTATAACTGGCCTCTGCTCCTGGCCCCCCTTCCTGTACTAGCAGGCGCTAATCCTCTATAACTGGCCTCTGCTCCCGACCCCCCCTTCCTGTACTGGCAGCGAGTAGCTAATCCTCTATAGCTTGGCCTCTGCTCCGGCCCCCCCTTCCAGCCACTAGCAGGCGCTAATCCTCTATAACTGGCCTCTGCTCCCGGCCCCCCTTCCTGTACTAGCAGGCGCTAATCCTCTATAACTGGCCTCTGCTCCCGGCCACCCTTCCTGTACTAGCAGGCGCTAATCCTCTAACTAGCCTCTGCTCCCGGCCCTTCTTCCTGTACTAGCAGGCGCTAGCCTCTGCTCCCGGCCATCCTTCCTGTACTAGCAGGCACTAGTCCTCTATAACTAGCCTCTGCTCCCGGCCCTCCTTCCTGTACTAGCAGGCGCTAATCCTCTATAACTGGCCTCTGCTCTCGGCCCCCCTTCCTGTACTAGCAGGCGCTAATCCTCTATAACTGGCCTCTGCTCCCGGCACCCCTTCCTGTACTAGCGAGGCTAATCCTCTATAACTATCTCTGCTCCTGACCCCTCAACTTCCTGTACTAGCGAGCCCCAATCCTCTATAACTAGCCTGCTCCGGCCCTCCTTCCTGTACAAGCTTGGTAATCTCTATAACTGGCCTCTGCTCGGCCCCTTTCTGTACTAGCAGTAATCCTCTACTCGCTTGGCCTCTGCTCCGGCCCACTCCCTTCCTGCTAACTTGAAGCTTTAATCCTCTATAACTGGCCTCTGCTCCCGGCCCTCCTTCCTGTACTAGCAGGCGCTAATCCTCTATAACTGGCCTCTGCTCCCGGCCCCCCTTCCTGTACTAGCAGGCGCTAATCCTCTATAACTGGCCTCTGCTCCCGGCCCCCCTTCCTGTACTAGCAGGCGCTAATCCTCTATAACTGGCCTCTGCTCCCGGCCCCCCTTCCTGTACTAGCAGGCGCTAATCCTCTTTAACTAGCCTCTCCTTCCTGTACTAGCAGACGCTAATTCTCTGTAACTGGCCTCTGCTCCCGGCCCCCCTTCCTGTACTAGCAGGCGCTAATCCTCTATAACTGGCCTCTGCTCCCGGCCCTCCTTCCTGT